ATGTAGGACTCTACGCCTGTAAACATGTCGTTAACATATACAAGAAATAGAATTGGTCCCAGCACCGATCCTTGTGGTACTCCACTTGTTACTGTTCGCCAGTCCGACTTCTCGCCCCTTACCGTAACTCTTTGGCTCCTTCCTGTTAGGTAGTTCCTTATCCATGCTAGGACCTTTCCCCCCACCCCCGCCTGCCTCTCGAGCTTGAACAGCAGTCTCATGTGCGGTACTGTATCAAAGGCTTTTTGGCAGTCCAGAAATATGCAGTCTGCCCAACCATCTCTGTCCTGTCTTATCCTCGTTATTTTATCATAGAATTCCAGAAGGTTTGTTAGGCACGATTTCCCTGTCCAGAACCCATGTTGATGTTTGTTCACAAACCTAATGTTCTCCAGGTGTGCAACCAGTCGTAGCCTAATTATTCTTTCCAGTATTTTACAGGGGATGCTTGTCAGTGTGTGTGTGTGTGTGTGTGTGTGTGTGTGTGTGTGTGTGTGTGTGTGTGTGTGTGTGTGTGTCTGTGTGTGTGTGTGTGTGTGTGTGTGTGTGTGTGTGTGTGTGTGTGTGTGTGTGTGTGTGTGTGTGTGTGTGTGTGTGTGTGTGTGTGTGTGTACTCACCTAGTTGTACTCACCTAGTTGTGTCTGCAGGATCGAGCATTGACTCTTGGATCCCGCCTTTCGAGCATCGGTTGTTTACAGCAATGACTCCTGTCCCATTTCCCTATCATACCTGGTTTTAAAATTATGAATAGTATTTGCTTCCACAACCTGTTCCTGAAGTGCATTCCATTTTCCCACTACTCTCACGCTAAAAGAAAACTTCCTAACATCTCTGTGACTCATCTGAGTTTCAAGCTTCCATCCATGTCCCCTCGTTCTGTTACTATTCCGTGTGAACATTTCGTCTATGTCCACTCTGTCAATCCCTCTGAGTATCTTATACGTTCCTATCATGTCCCCCCTCTCCCTTCTTCTTTCTAGTGTCGTAAGGCACAGTTCCCTCAGGCGCTCCTCATACCCCATCCCTCGTAGCTCTGGGACGAGTCTCGTTGCAAACCTCTGAACCTTTTCCAGTTTCATTATATGCTTCTTCAGATGGGGACTCCATGATGAGGCGGCATACTCTAAGACTGGCCTTACGTAGGCAGTGTAAAGCGCCCTAAATGCCTCCTTACTTAGGTTTCTGAATGATGTTCTAACTTTTGCCAGTGTAGAGTACGCTGCTGTCGTTATCCTATTTATATGTGCCTCAGGAGATAGATTAGGTGTTACGTCCACCCCCAGGTCTCTTTCACGCGTCGTTACAGGTAGGCTGTTCCCCTTCATTGTGTACTGTCCCTTTGGTCTCCTATCTCCTAGTCCCATTTCCATAACTTTACATTTGCTCGTGTTGAATTCCAATAGCCATTTCCCTGACCATTTCTGCAACCTGTTCAGATCCTCTTGGAGGATCCTGCAATCCTCATCTGTCACAACTCTTCTCATCAACTTTGCGTCATCCGCAAACATCGACATGTAGGACTCTACGCCTGTAAACATGTCGTTAACATATACAAGAAATAGAATTGGTCCCAGCACCGATCCTTGTGGTACTCCACTTGTTACTGTTCGCCAGTCCGACTTCTCGCCCTTTACCGTAACTCTTTGGCTCCTTCCTGTTAGGTAGTTCCTTATCCATGCTAGGACCTTTCCCCCCACCCCCGCCTGCCTCTCGAGCTTGAACAGCAGTCTCATGTGCGGTACTGTATCAAAGGCTTTTTGGCAGTCCAGAAATATGCAGTCTGCCCAACCATCTCTGTCCTGTCTTATCCTCGTTATTTTATCATAGAATTCCAGAAGGTTTGTTAGGCACGATTTCCCTGTCCAGAACCCATGTTGATGTTTGTTCACAAACCTAATGTTCTCCTGGTGTGCAACCAGTCGTAGCCTAATTATTCTTTCCAGTATTTTACAGGGGATGCTTGTCAGTGTGTGTGTGTGTGTGTGTGTGTGTGTATGTGTATGTGTATGTGTGTGTGTGTGTGTGTGTGTGTGTGTGTGTGTGTGTGTGTGTGTGTGTGTGTGTGTGTGTGTGTGTGTGTGTGTGTGTGTACGTGTGTGTGTACTCACCTAGTTGTGTCTGCAGGATCGAGCATTGACTCTTGGATCCCGCCTTTCGAGCATCGGTTGTTTACAGCAATGACTCCTGTCCCATTTCCCTATCATACCTGGTTTTAAAATTATGAATAGTATTTGCTTCCACAACCTGTTCCTGAAGTGCATTCCATTTTCCCACTACTCTCATGCTAAAAGAAAACTTCCTAACATCTCTGTGACTCATCTGAGTTTCAAGCTTCCATCCATGTCCTCTCGTTCTGTTACTATTCCGTGTGAACATTTCGTCTATGTCCACTCTGTCAATCCCTCTGAGTATCTTATACGTTCCTATCATGTCCCCCCTCTCCCTTCTTCTTTCTAGTGTCGTAAGGCACAGTTCCCTCAGGCGCTCCTCATACCCCATCCCTCGTAGCTCTGGGACGAGTCTCGTTGCAAACCTCTGAACCTTTTCCAGTTTCATTATATGCTTCTTCAGATGGGGACTCCATGATGAGGCGGCATACTCTAAGACTGGCCTCACGTAGGCAGTGTAAAGCGCCCTAAATGCCTCCTTACTTAGGTTTCTGAATGATGTTCTAACTTTTGCCAGTGTAGAGTACGCTGCTGTCGTTATCCTATTAATATGTGCCTCAGGAGATAGATTAGGTGTTACAGGTAGGCTGTTCCCCTTCATTGTGTGTGGTCTCCTGTGTGTGTTAAACTCCAGTGTGTGTGTGTGTGTGTGTGTGTGTGTGTGTGTGTGTGTGTGTGTGTGTGTGTGTGTGTGTGTGTGTGTGTGTGTGTGTGTGTATGTGTATGTGTATGTGTATGTGTATGTGTATGTGTGTGTGTGTGTGTGTGTGTGTGTATGTGTGTGTGTGTGTGTGTGTGTGTGTGTGTGTGTGTGTGTGTGTGTGTGTGTACTGTGTGTACTCACCTAATTGTGCTTGCGGGGATTGAGCTTTGGCTCTTTGGTCCCGCCTCTCAACTGTCAATCAACTGGTGTACAGATTCCTGAGCCTACTGGGCTCTATCATATCTACACTTGAAACTGTGTATGGAGTCAGCCTCCACCACATCACTGCCTAATGCATTCCATTTGTAAACTACTCTGACACTGAAAAAGTTCTTTCTAATATCTCTGTGACTCATTTGGGCACTCAGTTTCCACCCGTGCTAAATAGTTTGTCTTTGTCCACCCTGTCAATTCCTCTGAGAATTTTGTAGGTGGTGATCATGTCTTCCCTTATTTTTCTGTCTTCCAGGTACGTGAGGTTTAGTTCCCGTAGCCTTTCCTCGTAGCTCATACCTCACAGTTCTGTGACTAGTTTGGTGGCATACTTCTGAATCTTCTCTAACATTGTTTTGTGTTTAACTAGGTATGGACTCCAGGCTGGAGCTGCATATTCCAGGATTGGTCTGACATAAATGGTATACAAGGTCCTGAACGATTCCTTATGCAAGTTTCTAAAGGTAGTTCTTATGTTGACCAGTCTAGCATATGCCGCTGATGATATCCTTTTGATGTGGGCCTCTGGGGACAGGTTCGGTGTGATATCAACCCCCAGATTTTTCTCTTTATTTGACTCTTGCAGAATATCACCTTCCAGATGGTACCTTGTGTTCAGCACCCTGCTCCCTTCACCTAATTTCATTACTTTACACTTTCCTGAGTTAAACTTTAGTAGCCATTTTCTAGACTATTCCTCCAGTTTGTCCAGGTCGTCCTGTAGTCTCTGTCTATCTTCATCTGTCTTGATACTTATAATTTTTGCATCAGCAGCAAACATTGAGAGGAATGAGTCTATACCTTCTGGAATGTCGTTTACATATATTAGAAACAGGATGGGTCCAAGTACAGAGCCCTGTGGGACTCCGCTGGTGACATCTCGTCACTCTGATGTTTTCCTTCAGGAAACCCAACACCAACACCAGTGAGACCCAACTACACACCTGCAAAAGGCAGGTGTCACAAAGGTCAGCATCACGCAGCATTGTGCAGGGACTCACAAATAGTCTCCAGTTCCCAAGATGGAAGATAACATTCCCACCACAGTACAGTAGTGCAAGATGCGACAAAAAAATCAGTGTCCTATCGACAAAGTTAAAAAATAATACAACTTTGATTATTGCCCAACTTACCATCAAACCAAAGGAGACCAAGGTCCAAACCCGGAGGTTGTTTGACCAAGGGTCCCAGAGAACCTTTGTTACACAAAAGGTGGCAGACGATCAACAATTGCAGAATTGCAGCCTGTAATCCGGGTGAAATTAAACATATCAGAGTTCCTGACTAACAAAGGACCTCAAGACAACCAAGTGGTGCAACCATTAGTGCATTTAGACAGCTACGGTCGTCAGTTACAAGCCATTGTGCTGGACACAATTCCAGCAATTCCTTCATGTATGTACAAGGTCTAGGAGCCACTGCCAAATTCCTGAGAAAAAGGGAATAACATTGGCATATAAAATTACGTCTGAGCACCTCCCCAACGTAGGTATTCGTGTAGGGGCAGATTATTACAACAAATTCATCATTAGTGTTACTAATTATCAACGTGTTAACTTGTGCAGGAGGTAAATTACTCACAGGCCCAGTATTAAGCCTGGCGAAGCCTATGCCTGCAGACAAACAATTCAAATAGAAATTTAAATTTGTCAGCTGAATATAAAACTCCAGTAAAGATATACTAAAGAGCATATAGCTGACTATATCAACAGAGGTTGATCTTGATATCATTTAAAGCTGAAGATGTGTTCACGAGGCCTCAGCGGCAAATCAGTGACCAGTAGCCTAAACAAGCTATACGAGTCACTGCGACCAATGTCACTGAACTCCCCCGGCTGTTCCTGAACAAGTCCTTCACCTGCCCCTTGGATCCCGTCCCTCACCACTCACCAAGTACAAGTGCCTCACCACTTACCTGGGTCCAGGAGGGTGACGTGTGCACGGTGGCCGAGGTCGTCCTTGGGGCGTCGTCTCGGGTGGGAGTAGCGGCCAGCTGCTCCTCCATCAGTCTCACTCGAGGTGCGGTCCCCTCCTCCTCCTCCACTCCGCCCCCCTCCATACCTGCACCCCCACCACCACCAGGGAGGGAGAGGCACCAAGTATTATCATGTACCTTCACTCACCTCGTCCTCCAAAAATGAGGAGGTAAATGTAAAAACACAAATAAGTGCAATTATGTACTATTCATAGCAGTCAGGAATTGTACTTATTTTCACTTAGTATTAAATCGTACTGTCAAATATTTTGTGAATATTTGAGTTTACCTGAAAAGCTGAACAAAAAACCACGACCTCACCTAACCGTCATATTGTTTGAAGATAAACATTTTATTGCTTCTTAATTACAATTAGTACTTAACCTATAGCTATATTGATATTACAATTTATAAAACTAACAAAACAAAACTAAAATATGTCAATAAATTGTAAAGTAACTCAGGATATTTTCAAATTTTGTATAAAATTTCTATTGTTAAATAAATCTGAAAAAGAAATTCCTGATATTTAAAACTTGAGTCTAGCAAATTAAACTTGACAACGGACACTGCAATTTGCAACCGTCACGGCCGGACGTGTTCTCGTTGCTCCAGCTCTCTCTCTCTCTCTCGCATCTAGCACTGCAGGGCGGGTAAATAATTGGCAGAAGACTTGCGTCTCTCTAGATGGTCCGACCCCACTCCTAACTTGCTGTTTTATGCAGAGTAGAGACGTGAGGCCATCTCCAGTGACGTGTAGTCTTTGAGAGAGACCCATCGTCTACCAGGAAGTTCACCTCGAGTGACGTGTAGTCTTTGAGAGAGACCCATCGTCTACCAGGAAGTTCACCTCCAGTGACGTGTAGTCTTTGAGAGAGACCCATCGTCCACCAGGAAGTTCACCTCGAGTGACGTGTAGTCTTTGAGAGAGACCCATCGTCTACCAGGAAGTTCACCTCCAGTGACGTGTAGTCTTTGAGAGAGACCCATCGTCCACCAGGAAGTTCACCTCCAGTGACGTGTAGTCTTTGAGGGAGACCCATCGTCCACCAGGAAGTTCACCTCCAGTGACGTGTAGTCTTTGAGGGAGACCCATCGTCCACCAGGAAGTTCACCTCCAGTGACGTGTAGTCTTTGAGAGAGACCCATCGTCCACCAGGAAGTTCACCTCCAGTGACGTGTAGTCTTTGAGGGAGACCCATCGTCCACCAGGAAGTTCACCTCCAGTGACGTGTAGTCTTTGAGGGAGACCCATCGTCCACCAGGAAGTTCACCTCCAGTGACGTGTAGTCTTTGAGGGAGACCCATCGTCCACCAGGAAGTTCACCATGCGCCACACACGCTACAAGGTCCGAGGAACGCCCCTTGACGAGCACCCGTTCTCCAAGACATCCCTCCTGAAGCTTTTTAAAGACATTGCGGGAGTGACACCTAACGACATCAGACAGGAAGGCACGGACATCCTCTTCTTCTTTTATAGTGAGGAGGAAGTCGACAAGCTTCTGTTTTTCAGCTCCAATTTTTCCAGTCAACACCTTTGTTTCAACTTCCCTCGTCAGTACCTGGCTTCATATTCTGTCGTTATTCATGATCTCAGCCAATGGGTCGTGGAACAAGATGAAGCAGATGAAAGAGGCAGTAGCAGACTGCCTCTGCTACACGACTTCAAGGAATCCAACCCGGGCTTAGGGCTGCACGAAGCTCACTTCTTCAACAGAAATCGCTCCCTGAAGCTGACCTTCGAGACCGTAGCTTCGGCTACTCTAGTTACCAGAAATGGTGTTTGCAGCTTCGGTATCCACATTCCTCTATTCCGTGTGAAGATGGAACGTTTCCACATGGTCAACCAGGGCCTCCGGTGCTACAAGTACACCCACTCCACCAGCAAATGTAACCAGCGTATTGTGAAGTGTAGCCTCTGCTCAGCTGATCACTATTCTATCTGCACGTCAGAAACACTATGCTGTTTGCTTTGCAAAGGCGATCATCCTGCAATCTCCATTCGTTGTCCTCACAGACAAGAAGTCATCAACAACAAGGAGAAAACCACATCTGCCGGAGCCAGTACCTCTGAAGCAACCAACCAATCAGCGACCACCTTAACTTCAAATTTCAACGTCCAAGCCGCCATTTTCACGGAGCTTCCGGGAGGACAAACAACTGCTACTGCCACTTCTAACCATTGAGGAGCCCAGCTCCCAACCAACCAGCCATTCATGGAGCCAGCTGTCGCCACCTCCAGCCCACCTTGACCAATCACTGAACAGCACGGTACAATCGTTGACAACGGCGGCCAGGATGATTGCTGGCAATCACCTCCAAGTATATGTTAGAATTCTAAATATTCTCTACAAAGCAAATGGTCTTCCAGCTTTCAACGTTCCTGAGGATGTAACACTGTAAAAGTGTTTGGGTTAGTTTAATACATACATAGAGTACACGAGTCACAGACAAGGATCTGAGAGGCGCCAGTTGTCTGCCTGAGATCTCACACCTCAAAGCGTTAATGACCTCAAGTGACCTGAGGTCAGATCATGAGAATTTCACCTTGCTTCCGCTAAACTCTTAATTGTAGTCTGGTAGCCTTCAAACAAGCCGACGTTTAAGGAGTGGCTTGGTAGTGCCGGAGGCTATCTACTTGTGGGCGGAGTTAGCTACTAGGTTCCCCAATATAAACTCGGAGAGCTATCCAGCATAGAGCATTAACAGACAGAGCAGCAGACGAGCCAGGAGAGCAGAGAGAAGACAGCCCTATCAGGGAGGCTGTCGGCCGGCAGGGGCGAGACAGTCTCTGTCAAGCTACAGACCCCCCCCCCCTCTCTATTCAACTTAGACTCCGTCCTCGGTGAGTGAACAGTGAGGTGACTTGGTCGTGTTTACATATGTTGTGTGATGATCAGGGGCAGTCAAGTTGTAGGGTTCTCAGATTCTTGGATGATGACTCACTTTGCATATTAAACTGGAACATTTTAATTGAATTGCTAAATTATGATACTTCATGTGAAATATAATTATGAATTTATTATTTAAATTGTGTTTAACTTTGTGCCCTAGAGCTTTGAGTTGAGGATTTGAGAAAGCCTCGGTGGTTACTAGATTCATGATATAAATGAGTACATGTTTGGAGTTGATACATGGTACAGAGGGAACATACTAATAATGAACTCATGATAACATCTTTTGAGAACTTTGTGATTCAGGCAAGTTCCATTCCTTGTCTTGTATGTAATGGTCTAGAATGGATGGTGGCAGCATTTCGTCTTCTACTATCTACTCTTCTACTTCTACTATCTACTCTTCTACTTCTACCTATCTACACCTCTCCCTCCACCCCCTCTCTAAACTCTCACTTTCAACTAATGACCTTCCTCGCCCCTCCCACCTCTCTGCCTCTCACCCCAAACCCTCACTAATTACTTCACTATTCATTTCTTTCCTTTCGTTTTCTCTTATACGTTTGTGGCAATGATTCTGTATTCTAGAGTTCTCTCTAGAGTTTCGGGTAACTGATCAAGTGACGGCGCCTTGTAGTCTTGGAACCTAGGTAGTCAAATACCTAGGTTACAAGGTGTTGAACGAGAGAGGTTGCCTTAGGAACTCTGGGAGTGCTCTAGAATAGTTGGCTAACTGGGGACGGGATAACGGACTAGAGAGAGCTGTTTCCCCCGGCCTCGTTAGTTAACTGGGGGGTGGAATAATGGACAAGATAGAGCTATTTCCCCCACCCCTTCCCCGTTACAAGGAAGTTTACACCAACACCACTTACCCTCGAGTTCTCAAGATCCGGATCCGGTCCCTGACGTCACCATGAACGCCGCCGTGCTCACGGATCTACTGTCAACAGCTGCAACGCCCGCTGCTCCTCCAGCAACATCATCACAAGCCACCCAGACGCTGACGCCTCCTAGATCGACATCAGCCACAGTTCCACATCTCAAGCGCGAACCCTCTAAACATTCTACATCAGCTGCAGGTCCCATGAAGCCTCAACAAGCAAGAACTGATCCCTCAAGATCCACCGCCTCTGCTTCTGACTCAGCCGACTCATCGGATGAGGACGTCTCGGTTGGAACACCACCTCCTCCACGGAAGCGCCCCTACACAACCGAAGATTTCCTGCTGGACACTACCTCCAACGACAGCCTCACCATGTCAACGCGTAGCAAGACCAACAGACCGGCCAGGAGGTCAGGGAAGAAGAACACCGACGATCTGCGCCTGAGAAAATCAAGTAAACAGTAAAACACACCGCGACGAGAAGCCCGGCCTCCAGCAAGACACATCAGCGAGCAACCATCAGAACTCCGCCCACTCCACCGAACCACAGCACCAGCTGCAGTTCCTACCCCACGGTGGTTGGGCCACCGACTTTTCTCCCCACTCTTCGACTTGTCTCCAGTTCCTAGTTCAAGATTTCTCCATCCTCGCCCCTGTCTTCAGTTCCCTCCTTGCCTGCTCTAGGGTCCTTAGATCGCGGATCGAATTGAACTTAAAAACTTCATCCTAAAATTCTGAGTGTCTTAACAGAAAACGAGAATAAATGGGGAGGTAAATGTAACAGCCCCATAAGTGCAATTATGTACTATGTATGACAGTAAGGAGATGTACTTATTACACTTAGTATTAAATCATACTGTCAATTCGGAGGAGTTGACTGACACACCTGACTCTCAATGGGCACCTCCACACCTGTCTCACCGCCATATATGTCTTCTGTCTCTCATATATTCCCATGCCCTCACATATCCACAGTCTTATATGGACACCCACCAGGAGGAGCGGTACACGACACGTACCTGCTGGGGATGGAGGTACGGGGCAGGTCACTCAGGTTACCGGTACTCCTGGACAGGTACCGGCTAGGGATACCAAGATATCTGGAACAAGATGATTACCACTATCATGTGTCCGGACACATAGCTACTGATGACACATATAGCTACTGATGACACATATAGCTACTGATGACACATATAGCTACTGATGACACATATAGCTACTGATGACACATACCAGCTACTGATGACACATACAGCTACTGATGACACATACAGCTACTGATGACGCACACCAGCTACTGATGACACATACAGCTACTGATGACACACACCAGCTACTGATGACACACACCAGCTACTGATGACACATACAGCTACTGATGACACACACCAGCTACTGATGACACATACCAGCTACTGATGACACACACCAGCTACTGATGACACACACCAGCTACTGATGACACATACCAGCTACTGATGACACACACCAGCTACTGATGACACACACCAGTTACTGATGACACACACCAGTTACTGATGACACACACCAGCTACTGATGACACATACAGCTACTGATGACACACACCAGCTACTGATGACACACACCAGTTACTGATGACACACACCAGTTACTGATGACACACACCAGTTACTGATGACACACACCAGTTACTGATGACACATACAGCTACTGATGACACACACCAGCTACTGATGACACTGTTGTAATCCACAAGTTAGTAGGAATTATTAGCTAGAGGATCATTACTACAACACTTAACGAATGATGATTGAAAGTACATGTAAGTAGACAGACTATGGATCACATATCTAAGAAAGGTCAATGGATTAAGACCGAAGCTGTTTAGCCAAATGATTAATTCCTGGAAAGAGGAATTATTCTTCGTCAGGCTTCTAGGAACAAGATTACCTCTCTAGGGATAAGGTTAATCGGATTATACCTTCCTTGAGAGGTGGGGTGAAATGGTTGAGGTAGATGGCTGACTGGAGGAGTCTGATTGTGGAAGTTGAACGAGCAAGTCCTTTTGGATCCCCGGTTGTGGCAGCAGCGAAGTGTAGCAGACAGCTATGCGAGAGCCTGTTGTGATCTTAGTGACCAAGTTAAGTCTGCAGTATGTGAGTATTGAATGTAAGACTAACCGGGTGTGGAGCGTTGTAGTAATCATTCCGTATTAGGGACTTAGGCGGAAGTTACGAGTGTGGGTGGTGATCGCGGAGGTCAAGTGGTCTATGGGTATTGGAAGTGTATTGACCTAATAGAGTATGTTAATTAATATAGTATTATTTGTCAGAGTCTATTCTTTGTAATTAAATGACAAATCCGACGGCCTTTAAAAACCTTTGATATGTCCCTTCATAGTGTTCCTGGTTTGGTTGGTGAGGGAATGTTAGGGAATTGGTAGGCGACATATTTGGTGGCAGCGCAAACAGGTTTTGGAACACTGTGCGAGATGAAGAAAGTGTGGTTCTGGTTTAGTTGGTGAGGGAATGTTCGGGAAATGGTAGACGTCGGGTTGTGGTGAGAATGGTGGTTACTAGACGGAGGAAAGAAGGGTCAGGTGAGACCAGGGCAGAGGAGTTAGTTAATTAAAGGGACTAGGCCATTGTGGGGCACATGTGGGGTTTATTTCTTTCTTTCCAGATTCCCGCAACGAGAGACGGCTAAGATGCAAGTCTGGACCACTGAATCATCGGGATCCAAAACAAGTGCAGTGTTCGTAGTGCGGATTATACAGTGTTCGTAGTGTGGATTATACAGTGTTCGTAGTGCGGATTATACAGCGTGGCGAGGTAAACTAGCGCGGGTGAATGTGGGCCAGCGTAGGCCATGTGCGGCCATGTGCGGGCCAAGCGATGGGTGGGCCAAGCGAGCCGCACCTTGGAGCTTGGTTTATATCGTTGGTAAGGCGGAAATAGTGAGAAACCGTTGCTAAGGACAAATCAAGCGTGAAAACTACGTAATTTGAAGTTAATTAAATTGCATGTAAAGTGTAAATCGATTTTTTTAAGGATAATGAAATATTACCTAAAGTACTGCGCGAGTTCCTGCGTTGTCAGACGTAGATACAGAAAATAGGCGCAGTGAATTATGGACGCCTGGGCAAAGCGAGCGATGCGTAATTTGCGAGGTTCGACGTCTAGTGTACCGTGCAAAGGGCCATGGAGATTTTTTTGTGGGTGCAGGTAGCATTATGGAGAGTGTTACCGTGGGACACGGGGAGCGTGTCCGTTGGTGGGGGTGTGTGGCGCCGGGTGTAGTGCATGGTTGTGTATTGGCGTTTGTACGCCGGGGTGTGTAGTGTAATGCATGTGGTGTGTAGTGTAATGCATGTGTAGTGGCTTATTAGACGCCAGCGTAATGCATAGTATTTACTGTAGTGAAATGTGCATGTTTTCACTGTGGATATCATGGATGTAGTATAGTGCATGACATTGTTGGCATTGTAGCGCCAAGGTGTAGCATGTGTAGCATAACTGGTTGTTGTAACACCGGGTGTATTGTAGACATTAGCGTTAAAGTATGTTAACGCAGGTGGTAGTGTGTGGCGGGTGGCCACTACACAAGAAATTATGCCTGACGAGTGTTGGTCAGGTAATTAATGGATTACCAGAGAAAAGGGACAGTGTGTGTTGCGGTTGGTGATGTCTCGTGGTGTTTTGATGCGCTCTGGCGCAAGGCATATGCCTGTGGTGGTGATGGTGTTGAGGGCGTTGGAGACGCCGTGTGTGGTGTTGGGGACGCCGGGTGTTGTGTTGAGGGCGTTGGGGACGCCGGGTGTTGTGTTGAGGGCGTTGGGGACGCCGTGTGTTGTGTTGATGGCGTTGGGGACGCCGTGTGTTGTGTTGAGGGCGTTGGGGACGCCGTGTGTTGTGTTGAGGGCGTTGGGGACGCCGTGTGTTGTGTTAAGGGCGTTGGGGACGCCGTGTGTTGTGTTGAGGGCGTTGGGGACGCCGTGTGTTGTGTTGAGGGCGTTGGGGACGCCGTGTGTTGTGTTGAGGGCGTTGGGGACGCCGTTGGGTGGTGTAGTGTGGTGGCGTTTGGACGCCTGGTATGGAGTGTGGTGTGTAGTGGTGCATGGGCATGGTAGTTTTTGTAGAGTGTGGGGTAGTGTGTAGAGTGTGGTGTGTAGTGGTGCATGGGCATGGTAGTTTTTGTAGAGTGTGGGGTAGTGTGTAGAGAGTGGTGTAGAGTAGCATGTGTAGTGGGTGGTGTAGTGTTGTGGCGTTTGGACGCCTGGTATGGAGTGTGGTGTTATAATGAGGTCATCAGTGGTTGGGTTGACCAAAGGTGATGGTGTGTCGGAGTGGGTAAGTCTTATGGATAAGATTATAATGTAGAATTTCAAAATTTCAGGTGTTGGTGGTTGCAGTGGACGAGCGAAGTAGATATACTAATTTCTTATTAAGTTGTTACAGGAATCTCGCTAGAGGCGAGCCAGTGGCAGTATGATGTTTTAGTGACATAAGTGTGAAATTATTTTAATGAGGTATTTATTGTGATAATGTATGTGCATGTATATACTGTATATTACCTCATCGGCACCATTACTGAGTGTTAGGCTTGAGAAGGTCCCCCGGGATCATGTCACAGAGCTTCAGGTAGATAGAAGGGAAGCTATGAGGCTACACTCAGTAATTTTAGAGAAAAAAAAAGGGGGAGGAAGTGAAGCCAACGTGACGTTATAGGCGAAATTCGCCCCCTGACATCAAAGCAGGGATAAGGGCCAGCTGCAATGGTTTTGCAGCTGCGCTCAGGCTATATACGGGGAGAGAGTAAGGAGCCGAGGGGGTTATGTAATAATGGGATCGAGCCAGGGGGCTCCGAGGGAATATTTTGCAGGTACAGCGGTCGGGAAGGTGTGAATACAGGTGGACACACTCTGGGCGGATGGGCCTAGACCAGAGAGCTGTGAGGTATCTACAGCGTTCTGGGATTGGTGCCCTGGAACGAGACGTCAGCACAGACCCGAGGGAACATGACCCTGGGGTAGGAATCTCCGTTGCTCTGGAGGCCAGGATCACGTTAGCTCAGAGCAACGATGGGACATTGACAACATTCACCAGGCTGGACAGCCTGGGTTTTGTCTGGGTCATGGAGGATCTATGACCTAGCAACCATGGGACACGAAGACAAGAGAAGTGATGCTGCAAATTGTGGAGGAGGCCAGTGAAACATTGTGTGATCATTGTAAGCCCTTATGTCAACAGTACAGGGCAAGATGTTAAATTATAATTACTAAGGATGAAGAACCTTAGATATATATGTGTTGTGTATATATTAATGACTAGTGTCATTTCTGTTTAAGTGCCAGCATTCTGGTCCATGTAATTTTATGGTTATGTTTGTATGTAATTATATGTCAGCAGTTTAGGTATATGTGCATTGTTGGAGATGGGAAAAATTATTACAGACTATTTTACCTGTGCTATGATGTGAATATAATGTATATGTTGGAGAAGTGTTGTGAGTCATGTCGGGGAAAATTTTAATTTAGTTCATCGTGTGTATGATGAACTTATTGGATGATTTTTTAGTTGTACACATATGGTGGGTGCATCCTCCAGGTCCTTGCACTAATGGAACCATTGCAATGATGCATATGGGGACATATGCGTGTTTAAGGAGGGGAGTGGTGTTGTAATCCACAAGTTAGTAGGAATTATTAGCTAGAGGATCATTACTACAACACTTAACGAATGATGATTGAAAGTACATGTAAGTAGACAGACTATGGATCACATATCTAAGAAAGGTCAATGGATTAAGACCGAAGCTGTTTAGCCAAATGATTAATTCCTGGAAAGAGGAATTATTCTTCGTCAGGCTTCTAGGAACAAGATTACCTCTCTAGGGATAAGGTTAATCGGATTATACCTTCCTTGAGAGGTGGGGTGAAATGGTTGAGGTAGATGGCTGACTGGAGGAGTCTGATTGTGGAAGTTGAACGAGCAAGTCCTTTTGGATCCCCGGTTGTGGCAGCAGCGAAGTGTAGCAGACAGCTATGCGAGAGCCTGTTGTGATCTTAGTGACCAAGTTAAGTCTGCAGTATGTGAGTATTGAATGTAAGACTAACCGGGTGTGGAGCGTTGTAGTAATCATTCCGTATTAGGGACTTAGGCGGAAGTTACGAGTGTGGGTGGTGATCGCGGAGGTCAAGTGGTCTATGGGTATTGGAAGTGTATTGACCTAATAGAGTATGTTAATTAATATAGTATTATTTGTCAGAGTCTATTCTTTGTAATTAAATGACAAAATCCGACGGCCTTTAAATACCTTCCGTATGTTCATTCATTGTGTTCCAGTACAAACCTAGTGGTACGCCTCAAGGGTCTGGTGTGTGTAGGAGTACACGGTGGTAGTAACGGGTGCTGAGGCAAGGTGTTATGTGTTGTGTAATCGCTGTGTTCGGAATGAACCGGGGTTCAGCGTCACGACAACACATACCAGCTACTGATGACACATACAGCTACTGATGACACACACCAGCTACTGATGACACATACCAGCTACTGATGACACATACAGCTACTGATGACACACACCAGCTACTGATGACACATACCAGCTACTGATGACACATACAGCTACTGATGACACACACCAGCTACTGATGACACATACAGCTACTGATGACACACACCAGCTACTGATGACACATACAGCTACTGATGACACATACAGCTACTGATGACGCACACCTGATGATGGTTTACCTGGTGTTGTGAGAGGGAGAGTGGTTTACCTGGTGTTGCGAGAGTGAGAGTGGTTTACCTGGTGTTGCGAGAGTGAGAGTGGTTTACCTGGTGTTGCGAGAGGGAGAGTGGTTTACCTGGTGTTGCGAGAGTGAGAGTGGTTTACCTGGTGTTGCGAGAGGGAGAGTGGTTTACTTGGTGTTGCGAGAGGGAGAGTGGTTTACTTGGTGTTGCGAGAGTGAGAGTGGTTTACCTGGTGTTGCGAGAGGGAGAGTGGTTTACCTGGTGTTGCGAGAGGGAGAGTGGTTTACCTGGTGTTGCGAGAGTGAGAGTGGTTTACCTGGTGTTGCGAGATTGAGAGTGGTTTACCTGGTGTTGCGAGAGGGAGAGTGGTTTACTTGGTGTTGCGAGAGGGAGAGTGGTTTACTTGGTGTTGCGAGAGTGAGAGTGGTTTACCTGGTGTTGCGAGAGGGAGAGTGGTTTACCTGGTGTTGCGAGAGGGAGAGTGGTTTACCTGGTGTTGCGAGAGTGAGAGTGGTTTACCTGGTGTTGCGAGAATGAGAGTGGTTTACCTGGTGTTGCGAGAGGGAGAGTGGTTTACCTGGTGTTGCGAGAAGGAGAGTGGTTTACCTGGTGTTGCAAGAGGGAGAGTGGTTTACCTGGTGTTGCGAGAGGGAGAGTGGTTTACCTGGTGTTGCGAGAGGGAGAGTGGTTTACCTGGTGTTGCGGGAGGGAGAGTGGTTTACCTGGTGTTGCGAGAGGGAGAGTGGTTTACCTGGTGTTGCGAGAGTGGTTTACCTGGTGTTGCGAGAGGGAGAGTGGTTTACCTGGTGTTGCGAGAGTGGTTTACCTGGTGTTGCGAGAGGGAGAGTGGTTTACCTGGTGTTGCGAGAGGGAGAGTGGTTTACCTGGTGTTGCGAGAGGGAGAGTGGTTTACCTGGTGTTGCAAGAGTGGTTTACCTGGTGTTGCGAGAGGGAGAAGGGGGGATGCGGGACAGGAGGTCATCGTCTGGTCGACGGTACACGAAGCGAGGTTTGGTCGCGTCCTCTCTCGGTCCTCGATCATACTCCCCTGAAAAAAGTTCCACCTTATACTCTAACTATAGGACCTTATAATCTAACTGTAGGATCTTATACTCTCACTGTAGGACCTTATACTCTCACTGTAGGACCTTATACTCTCACTGTAGGACCTTATACTCTCACTGTAGGACCTTATACTCTCACTGTTACGGCCCTACTGGGGCGTAACCGGGTTCTTTTCTGGTGTTATTAGAATTTGGGAATCCGGCCCCAAGCTAGTAGAGGCTTTCAAGGGATGTGTTCCGTAACGCAAGTTAACTTAAAGGGGGAGGGATACAAATGTGCTGATTTATATATATTATTACACCACCACCATAAATAAATATATAAACAGTCACACGGGGGTTATAAATACACAAATGTATAATGACTTGTCTTCCTCCGAAGACTCAGGATGCTCCACGGAGCTCACGATGAGTAGCCCTGGTTCTCTTCTTTGGCCCACGATGAATCCTTTTTGATTCTCTCGGCGAATCTACCCTGGCCACAGGCCAGCCAAATCACAGTCCCACTGGGTGCTCCGTCGTGGAGGCCTTCAACCACAATCCAGCCTGTAGCTGGCAGGTTCCGATCAGCTCCGCTGTGTAGGCCACTCCACGACCGATACTAGGGTTGCGAGCCCTAGGCAGGAGCCTCGTGTGATTCTGCTCATCACTCTCCTCTCTCAGCACCACAGTGGCTAGTCTCTTCCACCAGCCAGCCCCGGATAAGGCGATTCCTCGACAGTGCCACGTCACAGGCAGGCTAACACTCTCAGTAGAGTTCGTCCGGGGGGGACTCACTGCTTCTTCAGAGCAAACTCGTGGAGAGACCTTGGCTGCCTTGGGTAGACTGATCCATTGTCCAATACAGCAGTCCCAGGTCGGCTCTGTAATCAGACACGTCATTAGTACTGGGACTAGGGAACCTCACTTACAGGCTTAGACACAAACGTCCACCTATTCACTCCATAGATGGTGTTGCTGTCTAAGCACCACCTCACCAGAGGTCAGCAGCGGCTATGTTATGAGCTGATTAAGACGGGAATCCAGCCCCTGTGGCCGGTATATCCCGTTCTCACTAGATGGCGTCGTCCATTTGGAGGGGGTTTAGGGAGCTGACTCACAAATGGCGTTGTCGTCACTGCTCCGTGCTACGACGCTGGACTCGGGTCCGTAACAGTAACTGTAGGACCTTATACATGGCTGGTGATGGTCAGAGGTCAAGCAGCTCTCGTAGTGTTACCAACGTCAGTAAAGTCTCACAATTACATACATATATTACATCATGTATTACGCAATAATATTTGGAAATTGCATTTAATGACGGTTGAGGAAACTGTTGTATGATCATACATATGGTGTGAGGACCATGCTGTATGATCATACATAAGGTGTGAGGACTTTGCTGAATGATCATACATAAATGTATGATTAAATACAGGAGGATTTTCGAGATATCAAATAATATCTCGAGAATCCTCGAGATATCAAGAGAGAGTGGTGACGATTTCGGCGCCATCTATGGACCTGCACTCCAACTCCAATGCATTACGAGAAACGCAGACAATGCCATCTATTGGCGGAGGTGTGGCGTCGGTGAAAGGCTCTGTTTCATACCTCAGTTAAGAGGTGAGGTCGATGATGATGACCTCTGTTGGAGGCTCTCAAATGGGTGTTCGACTTTACAAACAGAGATGCTAGCCATTCAAAAGGCTTTGGAACATGCTCTTGCTGAACACCGATAACATGTTATCATACATACAGATTCGAGAACCGCCATTGAAACCTTGCAACAAGAACACATATGTTCTAACATCCATCTGATCACAAATGTTATATCATTAATGCAAACACTCAAACGACAAAGCCGACGGATACTTATCAACTGGGTGCCAAGTCATGTGGGAATAATAGGAAATGACATTGCAGACGAAGCTGCAAAACTTGCAACTAAGAGAAGAAATATAGACATTTACATACCACAGAGTCTATCACAGATTAAGAAAGTAATTAGAAACAGAGCAATGCAGAAGATGTACAGTGACCACAACACAGCAGTTGCAACATCAGGATCTGCAGGTTGGTACAAGAATTCAACCAACTACGAACTACTTAGTTTGATGAAAGGGAGCAGTAGAGCAACAGAAGTACTCTTACATCGCATCAGGCTTGGATACCCATGTGCATGGGAAATAGGCTTACAGGTTCTGGAAGATGAGAGGAAATGTCAACACTGTGGAGAAATGCCCGACACACCACTGGAACATTATCTAACACAGTGCACAGTTACAAACCCATTAAGATTTCAACTTAGATTCAACAGAGCAGAAGTTGTTAAACACATATGGCAAAATCTTACTGAAGCGACCTTACGAGTCATAAATACTCATACTCCGCCCAAGTAAAACAGAAACAAGCAACACTTAGTGGGCTAGAGGCTTAGGGCCTGCGCAGGAATATCCCTGCAAAAAAAAAAAAAAGACCTCTTGTGAGTGACTTAACGGTATCAACGCCATTTAGATTCTGCATCCGATTACATTTCACAGTTTCACAGTGGAAGTTTGTCATCCTATGTTCTCCCTGTATACTTTCTCTCTGGCTAATAAATTTTATGTTCACAGAGGTGACGTGGAGAGTCTATTGCGCTGTGGGAATCAGATCAGCTCGGACAGTCCCGAACATCTGACTTGGTCCTGTAAGAGGACAAGTGACCGCCGTCGGTAGTAGCAGTGTGATAGCTGCTGGACTTATGCAGTATTGTGTGGACTGACATACCCGAGATTTGGCCAAGAGGAGTTACAAGACGACAATAGTGGCCGTCTGCTGAGAAGTGTTGCTAGAGACTTCTGCCAGGGTGTTAAGAGACCCCTGGAAGTGATTAACTGTGACCCCTGCCAGCGTGTTGCTGAAGAGCAGATGTGGGGTATTGGGACGATACGGTGTGTGGAATGGCCCATCTTGAGGAAGGTGAACTAGCCGGTGATGACCATTGAGCGTGGACGACGTGTACTTGAAGATAGTGGACTCACCGGGACTAGAAGAACACTGCAGATATACTGAGTGTTGTGGGGTGAAAGCGACACTGTATACGTAAGTGTTGTAATACTTCGATTGATAATATATTGGTGATGGTGTTGTCTTGTTTACGCTCGTTTATTCCTTGTACAATTACTTACTAGGACTTATACTTACAATTAAGTATAAGTCTCCGTGGCGTAGTGGTAAGACGCTCGCCTGGCGTTCCGCGAGCACTTTGTCATGGGTTCGTATTCTGGCCGGGGAGGATTTACTGGGCGCAAATCCTTAACTGTAGCCTCTGTTTAACTAAACAGTAAAATGGGTTCTTGGTTGTAAAAACGATTCTTCGTGGGGGTCGTATTCCGTGGAACATAGGATTAAGGACTTGTCCGAAATGCTATGCATACTAGTGGCTGTACAAGAATGTAATAACTCTTGTATATATAAATAAACAAAAAGAATACAACCGCCAGTTCTTGAGAACTTGCCATTGACTTGGGGTGGGATAATAGAATAAGAGGCTCTAAGGCCCATTAAGCAGAAAGAACCCGGTTACTTGCTCAAGCAGGCGGTAACAGTATGTATACCATTGATGTCGATATGAGGGTATGTATACCCTTGACGACGGCATGTGAGGTATTCTACATACTCAATTCTAACCTCACAAAACACCAAATCAAATAAACATAAATGTATGACCCTGTAACTATCTTAGATATAAGGAAAGAGTTAATTCACTCACCCCGTCTGGGGCTGGCGTGGCCCAGCTGGGGACGGTCGTTGACGTCGCCTTCCTCAATGGCGCCAGACACGCCCTCGCCGCCCCCTGGAGCCCCCTCTCCCTTCTTCTCTTCCTCGGGGGAGCCGCAGCGGTACACAGCCTGGAGGAGGATGGTGTTACCTTTCTACACAGCCTGGGGGCAGGAAGTTTACTTGTTTAATTCTAAACAAGAGCAAGCAAGCTCTAGTTCACTTCTAAACATGAGCAAACAAGTCCTTGTTTACTTCTGATTGATGAAGATTAAGCCACCCAAGAGGTGGCATGGGCATGAATAACCCGTAAGTGGTGGCCCTTTTGAGCCAATATCAGTATCAAGAGCTGATACTGGAGATCTGTGGAGGTGCGACTGCACCCTGCGTGACGGGAGATATGTTTTTACTTCTAAACTAGAGCTTGTTATCAGATGAGCGGGATTTTTTATCCCAAACTGTGAAGAGGAAAGTAGCGGGCGCTAAAGTAGCGGCCGCTACAGTAGCGCTAAAGGCGCTATGCTGACCTTGGTAGTCCTGTTGTGGGCGTGTCCGAAGCTGACGTTGTCTTGGCTACACTGGTGGAGGGGCGTCCTGGTCTCACTCACACTCGTTCTTGTTGACACCTCTATCTTGGGAGAGATGATGCCCTGTGGAGGAGAACTCTCGCATTAGTGTCAAATTAGCATAAAAATGATTAGGCTAACTCATCCTAACCCTTGCACAGAAGCCCTCCAGAATTTCTTTATTGAAGATCAGCATTGTTCCAAATGGATAACTAAAACTGGAACTGAACTCAGAATGTATGGGGTTCATAATGTGTACCAAGAGAAACAACAACGGCACTTTCCTGCACCGTGGGAGGTTACACCCTTTCCAGTTTTAATCCCTCCCTTTCCACCCAAGAAACAAATCAGAGATCAGCCCAAGCTTCGTCCTGAGGCAAAACTCGACACCTTAATCCATATTGATGCTCTATCCAACGAGCATTCTCTTTCTCAAATTATATACACTGATGGTTCCCTACACCGCCCCACGGGTGCAGCTGGAAGTGCAGTTGTCCTGACAATGGGCGATGGCTTATATTTTGAGTGGGGAGTCCGTATAAACAACTGGGCCACTACCCTTCAGACCGAACTATTTGCCTTTCTCCTTGCACTGAAATGTGTATGTTACGACCCTATTTCTTATTTGGAAACCAGAGGTCAATTTTGAGTTCTAAATAATTAATTATACATTAATTGATAGGATTGGATCATGTGAGAAGGATATTTAATTAATAATAATACTTATATTCAGGGCTTCTCATACCACCTGATGCGTTTTTGTTCCCGTCTTCCCTGCCAGACTCTGTCTGTCTCTCTCTCTACTGAAGCTTGTTGAGCACTTGTCGAGAATACTGGCTACGAACAGCTCATTAAAGCTTGTTTACCTATGGCCAAGTTCACATAGATTTGCATTTTAATATCCGGAAATTGACCCAGTGCCCCAGCTTACTTAAAATGCCCAAGTATACCAGGAAATGCCTTACGGGAAAGTCTCTGGTGGGCTCCATGAGGAGGTCGAGGTCGACGCCGGAGTAAGAGAGTCTCTCGGCGGGCTTGGGGAAGAGAAGATCTCTGACCGAGGATTCGAACACGGCCAGCACCGCCTCTCCAGCTGTCTCCTCCTGCACCAGCTCCAGGTACACGGTCTCCGCCTCCAGTACCCGCTCCAGTACGCTCAGGTTCCTCACCCCAACAAAGGTCTGTAGGGACGAGGAAGGATGGCGAGGGGGACGTGTAGAAGAGGGTTAGTTAAGGATAGGTTAGGGTTTCCTTACGACTAAAAACATCACCAGAGACGAACTCTTTGAAATTAATCTTGAAGAAAAACAAGTGACTACGCCGGCTGAGCGTCTCAAGTTGTTGACTCACCCTCTCAAACTTGAACTTCTCGTGGTAAAGGAGCGGGAAGACAGGCGGGAGCTTGTTAGTGCGGGTGTGGAAGCCCAGCAGACACACGGACAGCGAACACCTCCCCCGTCCCGGCAGCCACACACCGGGACACGACACCTACACATACACACAACTTCTGTATTTACTTCCTGCATTGTGAACCCCATAACCCTTTCTCTGCGCGAAACGTTGCACACACATGTACATAATGGGGCTCAGGAACCGCAATGGACATAGATGGAGTACCCAGCTACACCACAATAGACATAGATGGAGTACCCAGCTACACCACAATGGACATAGATGGAGTACCCAGCTACACCACAATGGACATAGATGGAGTACCCAGCTACACCACAATAGACATAGATGGAGTACCCAGCTACACCACAATAGACATAGATGGAGTACCCAGCTACACCACAATAGACATAGATGGAGTACCCAGCTACACCACAATAGACATAGATGGAGTACCCAGCTACACCACAATAGACATAGATGGAGTACCCAGCTACACTACACCACAATAGACATAGATGGAGTACCCAGCTACACCACAATAGACAATAGACATAGATGGAGTACCCAGCTACACTTCAATAGACACATACCCAGCTACACCACAATAGACATAGATGGAGTACCCAGCTACACCACAATAGACATAGATGGAGTACCCAGCTACACCACAATAGACATAGATGGAGTACCCAGCTACACTTCAATAGACATAGATGGAGTACCCAGCTACACCACAATGGACATAGATGGAGTACCCAGCTACACCACAATGGACATAGATGGAGTACCCAGCTACACCACAATGGACATAGATGGAGTACCCAGCTACACCACAATGGACATAGATGGAGTACCCAGCTACACCACAATGGACATAGATGGAGTACCCAGCTACACCACAATGGGTTATTAATAAGGTTGAAATATACACACTTGTATGGGTTAAAAACATTGTAACTACTCTCGGAGTGTATAAACGAAGAGAGACACGCATTAATGAGTTAGTTACGTGTAAAGTATTAATTGGTATACTAAATTGATAAAACTGGGGTACTGTACACTAGTCTAATACAACAGTGGTGTACTGTACACTACTCATACAACAGTGGTGTACTGTACACTACTCGCACAACAGTGGTGTACTATACACCAAGTCTTAAACAACAGAGGTGTACTATACACCAAGTCTTATACAACAGAAGTGTACTATACACCAAGTCTTATACAACAGAAGTGTGTTATACACCAAGTCTTACAATATTCTTAGACTCGTGTCTTCCTAACTCTTTGAAAGTGGAAAACATGATGATATTGATAATTATTTGTATAAAGGTTATATTAATTATTATTATTGTCTTTAAGATACTATCGTCTTTGTGTCATCGTTGTGTCGCTGACACGAGACAAACTGGAGCAACAATATTGAACAGAAGATAACAGTTATTCTCACCGCATGGATGTCTATCTCCGTGGTCAGTTTGAGGGCCTTCTTGGCCGTCTGGGGCATGGTGGAGGCTGTTGTTGGTCTCTCTCCTTTCTCAGTCCTACACGCCACTGTTTCTTACCTCCTTAGACTAATTTAACCTTGTAGCCTCCTCAGGCCATGGTTTGCTTCATTTTGGCAGCTTATTAGCCTCGTCAAACCATGCTGTGCTTCATTTTGGCAGCCTCGTAGCCTCGTCAAACCATGCTTTGCTTCATCTTGGTAGCCTAGTAGCCTCGTCAAACCATGCTTTGCTTCATCTTGGCAGCCTAGTAGCCTCGTCAAACCATGCTTTGCTTTATCTCGGCAGCCTAGTAGCCTCGTCAAACCATGCTTTGCTTTATCTTCGCAGCTTAGTAGCCTCCTCAAACCATGGCTACTAGATTCATTGTCACACAGGCAGCTTAGTAGCCGCCTCAAACCATATATTATGTCACTGGTATAATCCTTGAGGTAAGAGGTACACCACATAAGTCAACTGATAGCTTCTTGGACACAAGTTCTCTCTGGGGCAGCCTCTTGTACACAAGTTCTCTCTGGGGCAGCCTCTTGTGCACAAGTTCTCTCTGGGGCAGCCTTCTGTACACAAGTTCTCTTTGGGGCAGCCTCTTGTATACAAGTTCTCTTTGGGGCAGCCTCTTGTACACAAGTTCTCTCTGGGGCAGCCTCTTGTACACAAGTTCTCTCTGGGGTAGCCTCATGTACACAAGTTCTCTATGGGGTAGCCTCATGTGCATAAGTTCTCTCTGGAGCAGCCTCTTGACACCATGTCTTGTAATATCCACCAACAAATATGTATTATCATCGTATATTGAACTCAACATTATTTCCTCAGTAAAGTTTGCTTTTTATACCAACTGCTTTTATGAAGTAATTTGTACCATACTGTCCACACTTTTAAGTGCGTCATATTGGACAGTCATTTATTAAATATTCACAATTTGTTCATTGCCAAGAGGCATATTGTTCAACACTGAACAGCTTCACTGAAATATCCAATCATTGTAACACTTGTGGGGGCTGTACACAACACTCATTACAGGTGTTCAGTAATTATCCATTATCATAATACAAATTTTGTTTAATCACTTCTTTTAAATTACCTTAATGCATATCAATATAATATTTTTACATTTACATATAATCTGATATTACATCTGAAAATATTATTGACGTAAAATAATCAATTACATCAACTTTTAGCATTTTGAAGCATAGAAAAGCAATAGTTAAACTGAACCCGTCAAAATTATGTGTATCAAAGGTGTGACACAGCTGGGGTATGACACAGCTGGAGTGTGACACAGCTGGGGGTGACACAGCTGGAGTGTGACACAGCTGGGGTATGACACAGCTGGGGTATGACATAGCTGGGGGTGACACAGCTGGGGTATGACACAGCTGGGGTATGACACAGCTGGGGGGTGACACAGCTGGGGTACAACGGTACAGGAACCTGTACAACGGTTGACTGACAGTTGAGAGGCGGGACCAAAGAGCCAAAGCTCAACCCCTAAACACAATTAGGTGAGTACTCTACAGAATAAACACAGCTATTGATCCAAAAAGTGTTCTCCTCTATGACCCTAGTCGTTATAGCGGAGCTCTATGACGGTAACATGGTACCGCTAAGCTCAGTCTGTTCACAATCAAATGGTCCCGGGTGCGATTCCCGCGCAGGAAAAGGCATTTTAGTACATTTCCTTACACTTGATGCCTCTGTTCACCCACCAGCAATTTGGTACCCGGGAGATAGGTAACTGCTGTGGATTGAATCCTGGGAAGGTCAGGTATTGGCCTAGTCACTAGGGGTCCCTCGATAAGTTTCACAAGGTTTCTGTCTCCGACAATGGGAAACGAGAAACTTTAAGATACACTTATGTCGTATATATGTATATTTTTTCAAGATTATATAACTATTTTGAAAGTTTCCATTCATAAATAGTGCAACGTGTGAAGACTTCACAATGCACGTGTCATCATTCCGATATATGCACAAATGATCAATCCGCGTGATAATTGCTTGATTCTAATTACACTTCACTGTGTTGCTTCACTCACTAAAATCCGTCATTGTAACTGTATATTGAGTTATTTTCCTTTTAATAACGCCTAAACTTGATGGATCTTGGAGTATCATTACGTTAATGAACAAGATTCTGCGACGAGAGACAATAACGGTACAATTACATCGAGCGATTAACAAGATCAGTGAACGGAGACGCGTCACCAGCTTGTGTTATTAGTAAACAATCCGTTGCCATGGCAGCGGCGGCAGCGTCTCGCCACACACCACCACCCATCCACACTGAGTTTAGTAATATTATTTGGGCGACATATTAAATTTCCATTTTAATAACTGGCTTATAATTTTGTTATTTGCTTAGTTTTGATTTACCATAGTCGGGGATAGAAAGCGTTTTAATATTGTGGATTACGATACGAACCTTGAAGCCGTCATATTGGACAGTCTTATGTCTATGTCCTAGATTAAGCAACTACGGTACTAGGTACCACAGCTGTGTTCACCCAGCAGTAACTAGGTATCTCTCAACTCTCACACCAAGACAGGTTGAGGACCACAAGACTAGCAACACTACAAACCAGACATGATAGGGCTGATTTCACCGATACCATCAAAATACTAAACAATTAGGAGGATATTTTTCACCCACAGGTTATAAGCTCATGGAACTGCCTACCCGTCCAAGCCGTAAATATCAAAACTCTGCTGAACTCTAAATATATATATATACATATATATATATACATATATATATATATATATATATATATATATATATATATATATATATATATATATATATATATATATATATATATATATATATATATATATATATATATATATATATATATATATATATATATATATATATATATGTCGTACCTAATAGCCAGAACGCACTTCTCAGCCTACTATTCAAGGCCCGATTTGCCTAATAAGCCAAGTTTTCATGAATTAATGTTTTTTCGTCTACCTAACCTACCTAACCTAACCTAACCTAGCTTTTTTTGGCTACCTAACCTAACCTTACCTATAAATATAGGTTAGGTTAGGTTAGGTAGGGTTGGTTAGGTTCGGTCATATATCTACGTTAATTTCAACTCCAATAAAAAAAATTGACCTCATACATAGAGAAAAGGGTTGCTTTATCATTTCATAAGAAAAAAATTATAGTAAATATATTAATTCAGGAAAACTTGGCTTATTAGGCAAATCGGGCCTTGAATAGTAGGCTGAGAAGTGAGTTCTGGCTACTAGGTACGACATATATATATATATATATATATATATATATATATATATATATATATATATATATATATATATATATATATATATATATATATATATATATATATGTCGTACCTAGTAGCCAGAACTCACTTCTCAGCCTACTATGCAAGGCCCGATTTGCCTAATAAGCCTAGTTTTACTGAATTAATATATTTTCTCTAATTTTTTTCTTATGAAATGATAAAGCTACCCATTTCATTATGTATGAGGTCAATTTTTTTTTATTGGAGTTAAAGTTAACGTAGATATATGACCGAACCTAACCAACGTACCCTACCTAACCTAACCTATTTTTATAGGTTAGGTTAGGTTAGGTTAGGTAGCCGAAAACGTTAGGTTAGGTTAGGTAGGTTAGGTAGTCGAAAAAACATTAATTCATGAAAACTTGGCTTATTAGGCAAATCGGGCCTTGCATAGTAGGCTGAGAAGTGAGTTCTGGCTACTAGGTACGACATATATATATATACTTACCGTCCTCACCAACAAAGCCAAAAGCCTCTTACATGCAGCCACCAAACCCCGAACGCACGACTCAATGCCATTCGAACATTTATCAAAAGTCCGTCATCTTCGAACATACGATCTCTGTTCGAATTGCAGCGCTCTAACTGCTTGTCCCACGTACTACAAATACAAATAATTACCAAGAGAACCTATACACCTACCGTAGCCTGAGCCTAGATATGCACAATATGTTTATATATATATATATATATATATATATATATATATATATATATATATATATATATATATATATATATATATATATATATATATATATATATATATATATATATATATATATATATATATATATATATATATATATATATGTCGTACCTAGTAGCCAGAACTCACTTCTCAGCCTACTATGCAAGGCCCGATTTGCCTAATAAGCCAAGTTTTCATGAATTAATGTTTTTTCGTCTACCTAACCTACCTAACCTAACCTAACCTAGCTTTTTTTGGCTACCTAACCTAACCTTACCTATATATATAGGTTAGGTTAGGTTAGGTAGGGTTGGTTATGTTCGGTCATATATCTACGTTAATTTTAACTCCAATAAAAAAAAATTGACCTCATACATAGAGAAAAGGGTTGCTTTATCATTTCATAAGAAAAAAATTATAGTAAATATATTAATTCAGGAAAACTTGGCTTATTAGGCAAATCGGGCCTTGAATAGTAGGCTGAGAAGTGAGTTCTGGCTACTAGGTACGACATATATATATATATATATATATATATATATATATATATATATATATATATATATATATATATATATATATATATATATATATATATATATATATAACTGAAAACTCACACCCCAGAAGTGACTCGAACCCATACTCCCAAGTTTAAAACTCCCATGGGTTGGGAGTATGGGTTCGAGTCACTTCTGGGGTGTGAGTTTTCAGTTGCATATTGTCCTGGGGACCATTCAGGCTTGTTCGCATATATATATATATATATATATATATATATATATATATATATATATATATATATATATATATATATATATATATATATATATATATATATATATAAAGTTTGTGAGGGTACCACCTCTGGTGCCAATGTGGGGACCCATAGCCTCGGAGAAGAAAATAAAAAGTATTCAGAGGAGACCTTGTGGTTTCTCACTGAACACTAATATTATCTTCTCCTACCACCCCCATTCTTTTGTATGTACACATATATATTTACTTTATTTGAACTTTGTTACAAAAAAGGAGTTACATATAGGTTACAAAGATGGTTGTCATAGGTTGTCGAGTTCCTCCAGCTCCTCAGATGGCGGGCAGGAACCCTGGATGCAGTGCGCATTTCCCCTCTGTATCGCCACACTGAGGCGCTGGAAAAGAAAGCTTGCAGCTCTCGGGTCCCTTGTTGTTTCAATGAGCCTAGAACCCAGTTCCTTCAAAAAACTGGTAGCACTTTTACCCCAGGCGCCGAGCGTCTCAGAAGCAATGGGGACAAAATTGTAGTGGTGATCCAGTTCTCTGTACTTACGGGATTTGGCTGCTTCCCTGTGGGTGGCAGCGCCACCTGGTTGTGCAACACTGAGGTTAATGTAGGTGTTAGCCTGGGTTGATACGCACGTGTAGTCCCATACCAACTGCTTGCCATTCTTCCAGGGGTTCACTGTGATACCATCTGGGCGACCAATAAGAGCATCAGAGTTACGGGGCGTTAGGTAACGGGGCTCTCTTTCAGCTGGGCATCCAGCTGTGGTGAGGCTCCTCTTGATGATGTCGTTAACTTCGCTGTGCCTCGAGTGCCATCCCCCTGTGCTTTGGCAGAGTAGGCCATGGTGACCGTACCTGTCAGCCACCACCTCGCCGCAAATACACCTATATCTGGTGTGGATTGGGGCAGCAAGGCGGAGGGCCACAGCAATTCGGAGGGCGTGTGGTGTGAGACGCGTGCCAGTTGCCGACATTGGGGTTGCTAACAGGAAATCCCCTGCATGTGGTGCTGCTACTGCTGTGAGGCGAGCAATGTCGTGTTGTGTTGTTGCAGCACCCAGGCACTCTGCAGCAACTTGGTCTACAATGGGACCATCCCAGCTGGATTGCTTGTGGGATTTTGGGGATGGTGGTTGAGGTGATTGGCCTGCACGAGAGGCCCACTCTGTGGCACAGCGTGTAAAATTGGGATCATGTACACCTGCCAGCTGATGTAAGTGGGCAGGTAGAATTTCCTTCACAAGGTCGTCGGATGCTGATAAGGAGGACAGGAAGGCTGGAACAGCGATTTGCGTTGCTGTTCGAACTCCGAGGCCCCCAAGTCTTACGGGAAGAGAGGCTTGTTTCCACTGTAGGTC